TATCACAATAATAATTTATATTCTCTGCAGAGCAGACGACTGTCGACGACCATAATGTCATAAGTATTCCATAATATATTTCTATATTTTATATATTATTATATTACCGTTCATCGGTGACGCGAAAATGCCCGTTTGAAACAATCACCTTTACTGACAACGGCTAGACTATATGGGTTTTTTCACTTATTTATACGTTTTCGTCATTGTTTTCATTCATCTCATTTTCATTTCGTCGCTCTCAAATCAATAGCGAATCTGCCGAGCGAATTTATATAATTATCTTAATAATTCTACTGCACATTTTGGCATAATATATATATAATATTGCGACAAATGTCGGTCGCGCGCACTCCATTAAATCTATTATTTTTTTATTCACGACGAATATTTTATTATAATGCCTTCAAGTGGTCTAGGTATAATGTAAAATAATATTATTGGTGCTGTATAACCATCAACTTCATAACTCGAAAACAATAACGACGCAATTTTTTGAATTCCAAATAAGTCGGGTCTTAGGGGTACTCTGCAGATTGCCGCGGTTTTCGTCCACACAAAAGTTGACTGCGACTAAAATAATAATTCTGCTTCGTGCTTCGAAGCCTTTTGTTCTGGGTTCTGTACAACACGGACTGTATAACAATATAATTTGATTGCTGTCAATTATTATAGAAGTCTGTAATATTATCTATTGAGATGGAATAAATGTTAAACAATATACTTGTTAAAATGTAAACAAATAATTACGAATATAGCTTTATAATGTACATATTGTCTGTGGCTATCAACAATTTTAGCACCCTCGAAATGTTATGCCTACGATTGACCGTATTTCATAGTCATACGACAGTGGAACCTAAACAACTCTAATCGGTTGGGGGCAAAAAATATTCTAGTCATAGAAAAAATTTTACGTACTTATTGAAAAGAGGAGGCCGAATATTTCTTCAAATTATCGAAAATTTGACTTCTCATATAGACGTTCGAGGTTCCCCTGTACCGTGTGTTTTGTTATGTGTTCATACACGTCGGGACTTTGACAACTTTCAAAAACTTGGCAATGTCTCGAAAATAACGCAATTCAATTATTAAGTTAGCTAACCTAACCTAGTTCGTTTTTGGACTACGTTTTCTAATTCTTTCGTAAATTTCCAGTAACTCGTACTTCAACCACGAATTTGAATATTATCAGATCGAGAGGACCAGTACCACGTAGATCCCTTGTAATATCATTTTTGAGCACGGTCATTGATGAATATATAGGTAGGAGAGTATAGAAACACAGTATGTAACGACATTGATCAGAAGACTGGACAGTACTACATTTTATGTAGCTGCCCTGGGAAAAAAAAATATAATTTTGCTTTTTGTAACCGTGTCGATGTGGATTAGCGACGCAGAGTTTCAGGGAAAACTATACGGTGCAGGTAATGAATGCAAATGATTTTTTTTTCCACCCCAGGCTGTATGACCCTGAGGTCGTCGACTCATCGACGGGTGCACATTATCATAATTTGGAGGCGAACATCGGTGTACGATCACGTCAGATATTATCCCCAGAAAATCGGATTATCGGGTGTATTTCGTTTTTGAAAAACCTAATAATGGATGCAGGTAATAGGTATTAAATTCGAACCGACAGTTCTCGGAACTTTAAAGCACGTGTACTGCTGAAACACTACAGGCTGTCCGGATATAATCCGTATTGATATAAACGCATTACACCGATGCCGATGTAAATAATCGTCTATAATGGTTTCGGGTGTGTTTTCGTTTGGTTTTTTTTTTATCAAAATGTGTTTGCTCAACTTTGCTGTCATTATTCGTACATACTTCGAAATGAATATCAAACGATATCTTTTTAAGCGAATTTTCGGGCTTACTTGCGCATCATACAAACATGAAAGTTTGGGTTAGGATCGTTTTGCAATAATAAAAAATAAAAAATAAAAAAGTAAAATAAAATAGTCAGAATAATATAATTAAATAGTTTTTTTACGATTTAATACCCAACTATTTTCTTACACCACACCAGAGGGGTGGAACTTGGAATGAAAAAAAATGGAGAATGCTAGACACTTATTATAATAATACGAGTAATTTTAATTAAATAGTTGTGGTTGTAAAAAATTGGCTTATAACCGCTCTGCTGTACAGTTATTTAAGTGTCAAATTTACCTCGTCACTGTAAAATATGTGTTGAATTAAATGATACATACCTTCATACACGAAAATCGTTCTAACTTTTTTGGTAACCAGAGCACCTGACCAAAGAATTATTTTTAAATGATTATTTGTATTTTTTAAATATAACTGAATAATGTCTACTTTATCAAAGTACAAAACTATAAACTGTTTTATTTCCAGATCTAATTATCTGCTATGGAAACCTCAATCAAAGTTGATGATAGAAACTATTTTCTACTAAACAAAGTTTAATCTAAACTCAACAACTATGAAAACACTCATCACCGATTCTCTCAGACTCTAATAGTGACCAACCATCCTATACATAAGATCATCAAATTGTATTGTGTATATAGCAGGAAGCTAATTTAATATTAAACTTGAGATAATGGATCTATTTTTGAGGATATTGTTATCAATAATCACAGACGATAAAAACGCTTGATTATAAAAGATCCCAACGAGTAAACGAATCTACGTCAGCCATTCAGCCCGCAGTATTATAATAATATTTTAATTACCTATGTACGATATTGTTTTAAAGTGTTTAAGGTTTACGGTATATTGGTTTTCGCCTACTGGTAGGGTTTGCTCCCGGCGGATATCTGAAAAAAAAACCATGATATATTATTATACGTATCGCAGACTTTTCGGCGACACAAACGAGTAGTTATATATTATTTTGCTTTCGGCCCGTCTCGCTGCACATTATCAGCTATCCCCTCGTCGCGTCCACATACCATATACAAGGTATATTTTCGGTATACATTATTACATTACACCGACTTGAGGTGTACTTTACACTATACACGGCTTTACTGCTTACGTCTGTGTGTGTGTGTGTGTGTGTGTAGGCTCCCTCTCACGCGCGCGTACACACACCCACACCCACACACACACACACATACACAGGCGAGCGTCTTTGGGCGGCTCTTAATAATTCTCGAGCATGCTCCACCGACGACGACGACGACGACGCGACCACCACGTCCCTTTTGTAATGATTATATTCTCGTACACACGTTTTCGCCGCAATCTTATAATTCGCGTCACGCTCCTCCCGGACCGCCGCCGTCGTCTGCAGCAGTGTCCTTCTCCTTCCGCCATCGTACCGCGAAGGTCCTTTTCTCGCGGAGAAGTAACCCCCCCTCGTCACGGTCCGACGCCACAGCCGACGTTGCTTTTATATAATATATATATATAGGTATGTGACTGCAAACCTACCACGTGCCGACTATACACTGCAGGACCGTTTTCAAAACTTAAAAGACTCGTGGGTCGGCGTGCAAAAAAAAATGTTCTTTTGCCGTGTAAAATTAATGAATTATAATATTGTTATTACCCATACGGACGTCACCGTGTGTATACGCTTACCCACTATAAATTACCAACTTATAATATTATATTATATGACACAGTTGCTGCGGTAGGTGTCTCCTAAATGCATAAATACATATTATTTAAATGTCTAGATAACTTTTCGCATAATAAACTTCGTGCTAACCCCGAAGGCGGACGGCGGAAAAATGTGTCCAGCGACTTTTTTTTGAATAATAGCGGTTTTTGAATCGAAATTAAGTCCGGTCGAAAAGGATCGGGCAATAATATATTTAAATATATTTGGCGATTCGCCACGTCGGTGGACTTCGGTCGCCGCCTCAGCTTTCGTCGCAATAGTATAGTAATATAATATAACAACGCGCCATTGTAATCTTAATTATTACTATGATGCAACGTTTTCTGAGATCTGCACCGGTGCAGTTGCGTCTCCCGAAACAATTCACTTGCCAAAGTTATTATTGTTACACGTCTTGAGGACACTCGGGAATTGTCGTAAGATCGAAACCTCTGCACAATGCGCATTCGTTTGCGGTACATTTCGGTCGACTCAGGGGCGAGATCAAATTATTATGGCGTTATAATACACGCCACTCGATCTGCGGGGAATAATAAAAACAATGGAAACTTAATGCAAACATTTACGACAGACAGTCATTAAAATTTAAAAAATGTGTCTTATACAGTCAATCGGTGTCGTAATATATTCTATGGAATCAAAATGACCCGCACAAACGCGAACACGTAGTATCTAGTATCATATCGAACGGAACTCGCTTCATATTGTTAATGATTAGGAGGTAGTCATTACGATGTCTTAGTAGTTACTCTTACTGCAGTCAAATACCTTAATTACATTATGTAATATAGACACGTATTATACCTATATATATGTACAGCATACATGGCATGTGCCGGTAATAAGCACGTCCAGCAACAATGTAATAAAAATTAGTGGGTGGATTGAGTGTAAACGTATTTTTTAATTCATCATAACAGTTGACATTAATAGCAATGAGTTATGGGAGTAAAAAATTACCACGAATTATAATTCATAATAGGTACTGAGAATCTAAATAAAAAACAACAAGGCACATAAAATAATATTACAATAGTGTGTATATCGTATAAACGATGTATATTTAATTAGAGAATTATTAGACAACAGTGTCTTATCATAAACTGTTGGTGTATTTTAGCGGTAGCCCGGCGAGTGACCTGGTCAGTGGTATATCTAGTAAAGTGTTCATCGTGGAAAATCGTTCAACGGGGAGGTTTTGTGGTTATTTAAAAACGAAAATGTAAACACTGAACAACACGGCTGAGCACGAATAATGTAAAAATGATTACATGTTTAGAATTCGAATTATAGTCACACATAATAGGTATCCCCCCAATCGATGCTCTACGTAATCCACACGAATCACGACTCGTACTATATCGATGTGTTTTGTTTTCGTTCTGTTTTGCAGAAACAGCTCACGCTCGTCCACGGAAACGGTGCCGAAGCTCCTAGCCAAACACCATCACAATATCATTATTATACGCACGAGGTTTTCGAGCCGTTCGGCCATCACCGCGTACCTGTCCGCAGCACGTCATAATATAGGTACGCCACGAGACGCCCAGTGAACCGAAAAACCAACGGAGAAAACGTCAGACCGGAGAGGGAGGAATCGTCGCCGCAGCACGCCACACACCGTCGTCGTCGCAGTCGTTCCTGCAACTGAGACGAACCGTAACCGTCCGGCAGTCGACACAGTGCGCGCGTACACCGAGCACGCGTCGTGTGATCATTGCGAGCTTTGCACCGCACGCGGCAGGTAGACAGACAGCTTTCGTCGTCGTCCGTCGCCGAATCGTTTCGTAAATAATAATAATATTATAATACGCGCACGGACATCAGACGTCCACAGCGGTACCTCAGATCGATCGAACACATATTTTGTTTTCGTTTTTCCTCCCGATAAAATGGCCGTGGTCAACATGAACAATCTGCTGAACGGCAAGGATTCCAGATGGCTGCAGTTGGAGGTGTGCAGGGAATACCAGCGAAACAAGTGCTCCAGACCCGACACTGACTGCAAGTTTGCCCACCCGGCCGCCAACGTGGAGGTCCAAAACGGCCGCGTCACCGCCTGCTACGACAGCATAAAGGTACTTGAACGTGTGTGTGTGTTGTCAGCTAGCGTTTTATTATTAGTATTAGTTTTTTAATTGGTTTTCGGGAGAGACGAGACTGCGGGGCAGTTTTCTCTCGGGCACGTTGACGTCACTCGAGATCACCTGCATGCTTAGACTTAAAGTGTAATAATACTATACGCCTTGTTCAAGTTGATCACGCGATATCCCTTATTAATAACCTAATCAAGCAGCCTATCGGTTGGAATAAAATTCACTCCGTATACATGCGTATATACCTAGGCCCGAGCTTTTTTGTCGCCATCATATCGTACAATAGTAGTCTGTTTAATAGACTTGTCCAAACATTGCGGCGTTTATTTTTCGGTTGATACGATCTTAAAAATAATTTAATTACTAAAATATATTTTAAAAATTAATACTGACTCGGCTTTGCCTAAAACACGTTTGCTCCGTCGAGACTCAAGGATCCCTGCAACATTATTGCGGAAGGCACAATAAATAGGTAATATAGTTTGAAACAGTAATATTGTGTGCGTTGGGTACCTACGAATACTGTTTTTGGGCGACGCGTGATAAGAAAAAGTATCCCGAATAACACAGAATTATTTCCGGGGCACTTGTGCTTGTTTTCCTCGTTTGCCTATGTTTTTTTCGGTACAAAGTGTCCGACCCGGTGATCGCAACAGTACTATCAGCAACACACTCCTCTTAAATATACAGCTTTATACAAATCAATATAATATTATGTTGTATTGTTATAATTAAATCAAACACAACGTAATGCTACAAATCGATAACATATAATTTTACAAACAATACAGCTATTAGTTATTACTATTCAAACAGCTCGAAAATCCGATCGAAACTCGAGATAACTTGACCAAATCTCGCTGACACTTGTGCACCTACATTGTTATATTCGTAACTGTGTGTGAAGGTACGAACCATGTGAATCTTTTCGCTATAATAGATAGGATTATGTTGTCGATAAATATGTATGTAAAATAATAATATAAAAGAGCGTGCGGCATCGCGCATTAGGGTCAAGCACTCACGTGTCAGCGAAAACTTAAGCCATAATATTATATGGCCGTGTGTACGGTGCATGTGTAATGTGTATACTGTATATTATTATAGATACACCACCATTTGGTCGCCACAATGATCGGCTTTCCTCTGATAATATATATATGTAAAATCCAGAAGATTTTAGCGCACCCCACTTCCCCTTACCACAACCCTCTACGATCTGTAGTTTGTAGTTTTTTTTCTCGGAATTTCGCTTTATCCGTCGTTTATAATAGTATGTACACCGCATCGAAAAGGCGTAAAAAAATATAATAAAATTATGTACCCACCATTGATATAATGGCGGTGTACCTATGAAATATCAGTGTATATTTCTTTTGTTTTTCCCGACAAACTTTTTATTTATATTATAACTATTATTATTACGTGATCTGGAGCAGAATCATTTCCTAGAAATGTTGGTGTATATAATTTAATATTGAACATTGAACAAATATAGCACCTATTGTTTTTTTTAATTACGAACATTTACAATTTAATTGAGTGAAGAGAAATGGCTACAGGTATTTGATATAGCTAGTTTATTATACGTTTTTAATTCGTGGTAAAAAAAACTGCATGTGTCAAAAATACTGTTAATTCTAATTGAAATAAAAATTAAAACTTCAGTTATAAGAGTTATTTATACAGAATTAGTTATTGGAAATAGTGTAAGTTTTGAAATGCAAACTTCACTTATTGAATTATTTTAAAGTTTTATTTGCATTTGTATATGTTAACGTTAATTAATTAATTGTATTTATTAATTTAAAATCAATAAATGATTTAAGCACTTTTAGCGATTTCCTGCAGTACGAATATAATCACATTGTTTAAATACAGAGTTAATGCACTCAACCCAAGGCTCACTCAAAGGTTTAAGTGACTGAAAATAATAATTGGAGATTGAGTATTAAAAACCTATTGTAAAAAAACATATTTAAAGTCAACTTTACTTTGAAGTCCATACGGGTAAATCCTGATTTTTATACTTATTAGTAAATTGTTTATGTTTCGAGAAAACCATCATGTCATTATATCACGTTTAAAATTACAATTTTTCTTGTTGACTTGTTTTTTTGAAAAATTAGCAGTCGGGCCGGGGAGGAAATGACAAGTGGGAGCTAAAAAGTGTAGAGGCGCCGTTCATCCCCCTCCCCCCCCCCCGCCACAATTCTATTTCACTGGGCGCGCATTTGCGCTTTATACATAGGTACATGTGCCCTTATGTATATTTATTATTTATTATAACACCACTGCGGTATATGATTACACATTCACCATACACACGTACCTATACATAGTATAATATAATATATACGTAATATGAGTGCGATGGTGTCGTGCAATATATCACATATACGTAGGTATATATATATATATATATGTGTGTCTATAGGTAGGTACGTACTCTCACACGTGTATGCGGGTGTACGATAAACCCGCTGTATGTATACGTGTTATAAGTTTGGGTGGGTGTACGCGGCGTGACGTATATATCCGACAAAAATTTAGTATGCAATAGACGAGCCAACCCGCTAATTTATCCGCGAGTCCACGCCGCAGTTCCAATATACATACAACATATATACGTATATACCTACGTATTCGGAGCTCGTGTAATCCAATTTTCGAAATTAAAGGCACCGCGACAGGCGAACGGCTTTGGAAAGGAGAGACTTAATGATTAACCAACTAGCTGGGTTATTCGATACCTTTGTAGCGGCGTTTTAATCAGGCGCTTTATTCAGACGGTTTGAATGCTCATATATATTATGTACCTTATAAGGAAATATAAATATATATATATTTGTATGTATTGCGGTGGCGAACTGGTGGCAAAGAGTTCGAAAACCATCGACCGACCTTTTTACGTACATATTATGTAAACGTCGTTATATTATAATAATATTATTATTATCACAGAGCCGCGGAAAGTGGGCGTGCCCGGTGGACGAGATCCCGACCGCGGTTTCATTCGATTTTCGTCCCAAGAAAGACTTAACGTTTTCCGATAATATAATAACATTGCCGTCACTTTGTCATATCGTCCGAGTATAATATGCACGCTGGCTAACACGTGTCGCGGACGCCACACACATGTGAAGGTCGTACGTTTTGTCCGCCGACGACTTACTATCTTTATACCATTACCGAGGTCCATAATATATAATATCACGAGTACCTATTAATGATACTATTAGGTAGCGGACCGCTGAAATATTATAGGCCCATCGATACTGTCTTATGATGTTCCAACAACGCCGATACCACGAGATTGCTTTTCCGATGTAATTCTATTTTGAATATTGTAAAAAATTCAAATTTAAAAATGTAAATGCGTTGGATACATCATTAACGGGTTCTCATATAGTACAAAGGATAGTGGTATTTTTTAACATTTTTTTTTCGATTAATTTAAACGCAGTAACAAAAAAACAAAAGAGTGATCCTTACGTTTATTTTTATTTTTTTTTTAATTGACAGTGACTTATTTCCATTTCAAACATATGTGGAATATTAATCATGTTCAAAACTATAATAAATGTAGTGCAGTGTGTTGCCTACACGTTATATAGCTTTGATCATTAATACTCATAAAAATTCTTTTACACGTTATTAATAATAAAAAAGAAATGTATCATAGATATTTTTTTTAAATTTGAATTGGTATGTTGAATCTTACACCTACTATTATAATTGTACAAATACAAGTTTGCATTTTTCATAACTCTATAGGAAGGTACAATATTAATAAATAACATAATTTTTATCTGCAACGTATCCTTTTAAAAACATCCCATTTGATTAATAATTTAAGAAACATTAATTTAAATTTCTAGAGCAACTCTCTGACACAATCAGTTATATAATGTTCAAAATGTATTAAATACCTATACCCACTTGATTAACATTTTAATGACATCAACGTCTCATAATAATTCATTGTTTAACTTTACTATAAAATCACTGAATCCTCGTACAACAGAACCTTTGTATAGTTTTTTTTCCTAGCGATGACTTACAGTTTCATATATTTGCCCAGTAGCTAACACAACACTTATCTGGTGCAATACCAAAAAAAATAACTTTTGTATTAGTTAGTTCGAGAAACAATCAAACTAAAGATTTATGTAGGTATCAAAATATTTTTAAAAAATTTACTGTGGTGTTGCAAATTTTAAATAAAAATATTATACACCATTTTTTAGTTCAAGTTCGCAAAATAATAATGCAGTTATTATAATAATGGAAAATGTGATGCAATTAATATATTATCATTAAATTGCCCATTTGATGCGCATGACTCGCATATGCAACTCGAACAGACCCTTTTAACAGATGGTATGCAATTTAGACAGACCCTTTCAAGGTATGGCATGAAAATCGAGTGCAGTCATAACACAGTATTATGCGCAAAATATTCGCGTATTTGTGGATATGTGCATGTCGTGTGAGTGTTTTTGACGTTGAGTTTGTTGAGTTCGTTGTGAACTTGTGTTTTCGAAATATAATAATTAATCAACGGGCAAAAATGGTTGATAATTCCTGAATAATTTTAGAATATCATTATTTTTATCGTTTTATTTTTTTTTTCGATACGAAAATCAGTCGTTCTGCGCTCATCGTATAAATATATTATTATAATAATATGACAGACATACTCACGTTTTCACGAGAACGTCAGTGATAGACATAATTATTATAATTTATGGAGACTACAGTTTTCAAAACAATTAGTGGATGTACGTCAACAGATCATAAATAATTCATGGCACAAAAATAAAACGCAATAATTTCACCGAACCACAATAAATTGATCGCAAAATTATTGATGGTAAATCGCCTAGTATGATAATACCTAAATCTTAACAAAGTTTGTCTTTCCCAATATTTTGTTGTTCGTGTATGGTTTAATGACTTACCATAGGTAATAATTTTCA